AATGCACATCTTATGGGGATCCAGTTAAAGTCATCGTCAAGACCTACTTACTAGACAACATATATTGGTAGCTCACTATTAATGATGCAAATACTAAGCCAGCTGTATGTGAGTTGACTTTAACAAGTTTAGCGGTCTGTACTCGTGCATCACGTCTACTTCAGTTGTAATTCTTTCATATTTGTTCAAAAAATAATGAAGTTGTGTACAAGGGGTTCAGACTCACATAGAGTGACAACAAATAATCACTGTGCATACAGTTGCATAAATTTAAGAGCAGACAACTCTATTTAGGAAGTGTGTTGAGAAATTGACATGAATTGTCCAATGTGGCCCTGCAGAGTGAACATGGATTTACGTGCAATAGTAAATAATGCTCCAATTAAAAATTAACATAATTCTTCTTTTCCTGGTATTTCTCTAATTGAGTAAGAAGCACAAAACAAGAGTGGGGAAAATACCTATATATGGGATAATTTCCCATTGTATTCTATTTGAGAAACATAGTGTGTCATAGTTTTAAACTGTCCTTGCTGAAGAAAATCCGTGCTGTACCGTTATTGTGCAGAATTCCATAGTGTGCTACCACTATTGATGGCACCTATTAATTAATATACTGTTCTCCAACAAATGAGAGCCTCCGGGTGATTTTTTCACAAGTCGTGACCAGAAACAGTTTACTTGTGGCCTGCGATTAAATAGCAAACATTACCTCGTGCCGTAGAGATTCCCTGAAAACTCTGCATGTTCGATAAACTCTCCATTTTCTATTGCTGTCTTCATAAGTTCTCTTGTTACAAAATGATACTCTGAAAATGAGAAATGGGAAATAAAAGCTTTCTAATTTTGATAATGGGCAGGCTGTGAGTCAGACGACTCATGAACCATTTCGGAATGGATCGTGACATTGCACGTTTACAATAATTATCATATAGAGTTGAACTAAATTCATAGTAAGTTAGTGTATTCAAGAAAGAATCACCAATCAAGCTAAAGAAGTGAGAATTGTTCTTAAGATCATTAAAAAACTCCATTGCTCATCTTCCTTCTATATAGTTATGATTATGCAATAACCTGGGGTAGGACCTTTCCTACAGTTGAATTAAAATCGGGGAAGATTTACGGCTATTGAAAAGCCATTTTTCTATCAACACTTCAGTATTAACAAGTCCCGCAGAGCGACAGCGCTCAACTGACGTGTACTGTAGCCAGGTATTCTTCTGATAAACTCACTGGCAACCGAATCAAGTGCGCTCTCCTGCCACCGCGTTCGCGCTCAAGAAGCATATATCTCCGATACTAGCTAATACAGATCTATCTAACAATCTGATGATAGGCTTTGCTATACGCTACTGGTAGTGAGCAGTAAATAAAGATAGCAGCTTTGTGTAACTTTAAATGACTTCGCTATATAACGACGGCTTATCATGGATATGCATCGAGCGCGGAGCGTAGTGGTGGTGGTGGGGAGCGGGGGCAGGGGAGGGTAGGGGGGAGTGCGGGGTGAGGAGGCTCTAATAAGGCAAAAGCAGTTCAGTCCTTTGTAACTGTCAATCAAAAATCCATGTTTAACTCTCCTGCCCTTGAAGAACCAAAAAAGTATCAAGAAGCAGCTTACTCTTGGCGCAGTCGTCAGTGGAAACAGCACATTTCATGGTCGTTTGCAGATAAAGTGTAAAACGGGTAGGTCAGGCGCATGATAACAAAAAGTTTTGGGCAACTCGTCCGTTAGACTCTATGTCTTAGCAGAAAATGTCTTGATATCATTACGTTTCTCCACGTGCCCTTTCGACGCTGTGACCTCGCAATTTCGGCGCTGGTGACTGGGTTTCCCTGCCCTCACACTAATAGCATCAAAATATTAAGACATTAGGTGCGAGACGGTTGAGATCGTGTGGCACAATTCCAGTAGTTATCCTTCCTATATTAAGATTAAGGGAATATTTCGCACCTCCATTGACACAATCTGACCCCCTTTTTTGAAAAAAACCCGAGGCTGCCCTCCAAATTCGACATCACGAGTCCCCGTCGACGCGAATCACCCCCGGAAGTGCCGAATATGCAAAGACTGTATGCGATGGGCGGGTTAAGATTGTGCCCAACGCTGTTGACGCAGCAGACGGGCGACCGCACAGACGGACGGACGGCCGGACGAACAATCATGCGATTCTACAAGCTGCATCTGACTTTGTCAGCTGAGCTAAAAACTGGGAAAATTCTAGATTTGAGATAGGAAACGATAACACATACCTCTGCCATTTTCTTCTTGTGGTCGTGGATTCCTTGTAGTGTCTGGAAAACATCAAGTTAGCTATAAATAGCTGTCGTCGGCACTAATGGGACTATGGGTTGGAACTAAGATGGTATACATAAAGAAACAAGATAATTGGACGTTTCTGTCACATTTCTGTGACTGTAAATTTGCTCAAGGATGTAGGTTATGTGTATATTTTCATGTTTTGTTGAATTCATAGGATTCCAGTAGCCTGAAGCTATCAGATTCACTGACGGACAAATACACTCCAGTTACAATAAGTATATTATAGACCAGATGTCTTTACGGATTTAACAAATATGTAACCTAGTTGACTAGGATCTTCACTATTTTTAATTTCTTACTATAAATTTACATTCCACACTTAAAGAAGGCTTATGAATGTCAACCGTGTATGGACCATTTTTAATTGCCAGATTGCAGTCACAGCGGAATTTTGAAAGGTAAATACCGCACACCAGTGATTGGTTGTCAGACGGTTGCAAAGTGCAAACACTGGGCAATTTCCTACTACTCCCACCGCGTTCATAGCACTGACAGTAACAGACCCTCAACGAGCTGTGAATCGGGCCCAAGGATGTAAGAGCTTTCCTCATTCGCACATATCGCACATTGCGAAAATAAATTGGGGACAGATCCTACATCCTTGAACCGTGAATCGTGCCCGGAATAATAATCTAACACTTACGCGAAACACTGAATCCAAACTGATCCTTGTATTCTTTAAGCAGCTGTTGAAGCAGCGTTGATTTTCCGGCCCCAGATGGACCCGCCAGCACAACTGGACGTGGGCCAGCTATTATGCTCTTCACGTGGGTCATCTTGCTCCGGTTGCCTGTGCCTGAAAAACAAACAAAAAAATCCTCCAGTGAACGTTTATTTACGTTCAACGACGTGGGAATGCGAGCGCAACCAGAAGTCATTCACAGAACATGCACACATGTAGACCTAACTCAACTGAAATATGCCTCAGGAAAGAGACCTAGCTGGTGGCAATCCATACACGAAAGCATACTCTCGTCATTATTCCGTTCGCGTGCGCTGCCTATGCAATAAAATATCGATGTTATACATCTATTACATACAGGTGTTAGCAATCCCCAGTATACACGACAGGTGCCTATTGATGTCCACGAAGTAATGCCGCGACCACTCGGCTCGCTACATGAAGGAATGCATCCTCACACACGTCCCCAACCACTGCCACCACGCATGCTTAGTCAAACCGATAGATATATTGACCTACTAAGTTCACTAGCCGCTGATTTCTAAACCAGATCTGTGTGTGTATGCATCCGGGTTGGAACGATGGTGGGTGGCACTGCGCCGACCCACCTGCATGCTGTGCTGCCGTACAAGTGAAAGAGAGGTTCCAACATTGAACACTCACAGCCTACAATCACTAGCAGCGGGATTAAGCCCCCCAGCCACGCTCACGCTACAGCGCGCGCACACACACGCGCACGCACGCCGAATATAATCAGGGGTGAATAATGACAAATGTCACATGATTTTGTCAAAATTCACCGCTGATATAAATCTGTTATGTAGGTCTACCTCTTTTTGGCCCCGTCACTCCCTCTTACTCTACAGGGTATGGGAAAGAGCTACACCGATAAAGCTAATGTGTACTGTAGCGTGAGAGTGGTGGGGCGGACTTGATCCGGCTGCCAATGCTTCCAAAGTTCCAATATAGACAATCCACAGATCTGGCCTATAAGGCACTGCTCACTAAACAACAACCATGCAGGGAAATATAATATATAAAAAATCAAATGAAATATAGACATAGTCTTAGAACATATTAAATAAAAAGAGAGAGGTAAAAACGCAATAGGAAAGCAGGTCACATAATCTATCCACACACTGTTCATAGCAATGCAGGACAGAGTGCACTGCACAGCTAGATTAGGCAGTGCACAAAATTATAAAACTAGAAATCCTACCACACAAACACGCGCACATACGCACGTACGCACACACATGAACAAAGCATAAGAAAACGTGCGCGTATATGTGCACGTGTGCGTGTGCATTCTGCAAATAAGCAGTGAAAAAACAAATTCATATTCACACTGGCAAGCAAATGAACGAACCAAGCTGAAGGAAGAAGGCTCCACGTAGATACGCGTGTTGGTGCTTGCACCATCGCAGCTCCTCTACACTCACACGTCGCAACGCCATGAGCAGTGAACTTCTAAGTGAACACCCACCGAACCAGCAGCTCTCACAAGATCACGAAGGCTTGTGGCAGGGCTCGAATACAAAGTAAGTGGGGAATCACGCGATGGTTTTAGACTGACAGTCTGAATGTCAATATAAAAACCTCCAGTAAGCTACGACTGTATCTGCGTTGGCCTACATGTTTCACCTCACCGCAGCCTATCACATGTACGTATGCATTGCTGCATAACTTACAAGACATCACAAGCTAAGAAAGCGCTGCCTGCTGCGATAAGGAAGAGGAGGTAAGGGGAGTGCAGACAAGTTACCGCTTGCTGGAGCCCTTTATACTGACACGTGCTACTCTAGAGCATGCACACTGGTACATTCAGCTTATATACTGAAGTAGTAGTAGTAGTACTAGTGCTCATCAAGATAAGGCATGCACGCAGTACTTTATCAGGGAGGGTGTTATACATACTGTGTAGATTTATTTCCATGGAAGTGCTTGATAACAGAAAATGATTGCATCATTAGTCATAAAAAATTGTAAATATCTATTTAATAGATCATTGATTCAATATGTGACCAGGAAGAAATCAAACCCGAACAAGTGTAATGTGACATGGGCTGTCAAAAATGTTCTGACATGAGTTCATTCCGTCAGGTATGTCTTGAACATTTTCTATAACTTTTAGACAGTGATCAACACTACAAATTTTTACAAGCAGTGGAATTGATAGGAGTAAATAATAAAATTACTCTCATTTTAAATTACAGTGTATCCCCATTATTATATAAATATAACGCGATGGTTGGTGTCTATAAAATTTAATCTCGAAAAAAGCAGGGGTCTCGCTAAATTAGGGTTATATATATACGTGGCTATAAAAGAGCAAAACAAGTGCTGCGGAGCGACAGCGCTCATCTCACGTCTACTGCGGTGACTTTGTGGTGGGATTCTAGCAAACCCTGTTAGTCCCAAATGTGTTCATATACGTGCCGAAACAGTGGAAGGCACAGGGATGGTATCAGGAACCTTCTCGAAAGGACATGTCGGGATCGTTAGGAAAGGTTCAACAAGGCGCGTAACGTTAAGTGTCTAAAGATAAAGATGGCAAGCTCCCCCATCGTACTAAGTAACAACAACTATTGCAGACAGAAAATAGTAAGCAACGCCATCCCATTGACCTAGCAAGCCTACAGGCTGAAAATAGAGAGCGGCCACCCCTGTAACAATTAACGCAGCATATACTACACAGTAACAGCACCACCACATATACACTGGAAGTGCACATCGGCATGGCATAACCCCAGTAAGATGACATTAACACACTACATACAGAATCCATAGAAATGATAAGATGTAGGAAAGCGCAGTTCCCATCATCTCAGAATTATGCGCCATTAATATTTGCGGCAGCGGACCAATCACAATAAACAATTCCACCACCAATAAAGAGATCGCCGCGAGTCCACCTGCAGCCGCCTAGAACCGAGACTGGTGACCGCCAAATTGCGCAGGGAAAACGCCTCGACCCCCACACCCCCGTGCACGATCCGACTGCGCCGCGCTTCCCCGTCTTTCCTTACCTATTCCCCTTCTATTATCCTCTTCGACACGCTTACCTTCCACTATTCACTTATCCACCTCACCCCTGCCGAGGCTACCTTCGCGATCCCACCTAAATACGACGAAATTAACTATGTTCGGTACATCGTGTGGCTTGTAAACGTGTAGTCCATCCAATTTAGGTAATGTAGTAGAGAGAAATTCGGGTACAATAGAACATACGAAGAGTAAGCTTACATTTCTGAGTTCGTGTTATCTACGTGTACTATCGTGACCTCTATAAGCGCAAACCTGATACAACCTAAGAAAAGGGGTGCCACTACGCACCCTGCTAAAAACCGGAGAGCCATGGATCGGGGAACCAGAACGCCTTTCCTTAGACATTAAGGAAAAACACTTCTTCAACAAATATTAGGCTTTAAATTCACTGGACACTGAGCCTCATACACGAACAGACATGATATAGATTCTACAGCAGAACCCCATCAAAATCCTTTCTAACATAAACAAACCATGTTAACCCTGTCCTCTGAAGTGTAAAATTACCGACACTATACTCGTCGCATGTCAGCGAAAAGTACATTCAGGTCCTTTCAATAAACCATAAAGAATGGTAGGTCACCGAATGAACACAAAAAGAAGTTTCAATCGGCTCTTCAGACCATGATCGCTCAGAAATGTCATAAAAATGTGGCCCCATACCTTTGACCTGTGACCTCCAATTTCCGCACAGTGATGGCTTTTCCTACCATGATGCTATACACGGACTATCACGAGCCTAGGTCGAGCCGTTTAGATTTGTGCCGCAATTCTGCATTTCCTGCCTATACGTTAGGAGGGAATGTTCCCCCTTCTTTTACACCTCTTTACCTTTGACCTTTGACCCCCAGCTTCGACATCCCAACTCGTTTTCGGATTACCCCCCCACGTCCCGACTTTCGAATCCGTACGTCGAGCCGTTTAGATTTGTGCCCAACTGTTGGCGGATGCACGGACGCACGGACGCACGCTCATGCGATTCTACAAGCTGCATCTGACTATGTCAGATGAGCTAAAAAGGGGGTCCAACGACTCGTCGCGTTATATCCGAATTTGCGTTAAATCTGGGCGCATAAAATCGGGGTTCCACTGTATTATAAGAAAACATGATAGTGCACCAACATATCTAGATACAATAATGTAACCCAACAAGAGTAGGGTTGGGTTACACTACCCCAACTCTTGTTGGGTTACAATATTGTATCTACAACATATTATGCTATAAGCCACCTGATGATTATCAAATTATTAACTGTATTTTAACAGCATAATCATTGCCTCAAAAAGCACAATCCGAAAAAAATATAGCTAAATGTAGTCACACCTCATAGCGGAATTTGGATGGAAAAAAACTGATTTCTAATTATCTTCACAGCCACTATATTCACAGCTTATTTTTATTCATCTTCACAGCCCTACCCATCACGAGCTCTTGTCTATATGATGGACTTAAAGTGATTACGTCACGGTAAATAGTAAAAAAAATAAATACACTTTTTCACAAAATATAAGTAAATCTGTTCACATTTTATGGATAAATTGCTGCATTATACTTCTTATTTTACTATATTGTTCGATGTGAACATACACTCGTGACTCATACATAGCCCATAGCAAGCAATTAATGTTAGGAACACTAATATCAAATCGCCCAAGTTTTGATTTTTAACTAGTTGAGAAAAAATCTTATCAAGCATCAATTTGACGATACGTTTAGTCCCGTTAGTTCTTACTTTTAAAGGGACTTTACTCTAGGATTTTACTGCATACAACTGTACTTACTGTATAACAAATCGTCTATACCCACACGTACTTGTTACCAGATACCTAATTTAATTGTTATAATTAATCACACATCAACGCTACGAAATTTGAACGGCGCCATGACACCCACGACCGTGCTGCCACCCCGAAAAAGTTGCGTATTTGACAATTAATATTGCACGTTACAGACCGAGGGCTAATCACAAAAGTGCAATTATATTTATACCTAAATGCTATTTAACCGAACGATATTCATTTTAGGGCAAATTTATCCATATGCCCTATACTTGGATGTCGAAGCTGGGGGGATGTCGAAGCTGAACAGCTTGAACAGCTTGAACAGGTTGAACGGGATGTCGAAGCTGGGGGGATGTCGAAGCTGAACAGCTTGAACAGCTTGAACAGGTTGAACGGGATGTCGAAGCTGGGGGGATGTCGAAGCTGAACAGCTTGAACAGCT